TATATATATATATATATATATATATATATATATATATATATATATATATATATATATATATATAAAGGGGCAAAAAGTCATAAACAAATATCTGAAAATTCGTCTATCTCTCTCTCATATATATATATATATATATATATATATGAGAGAGAGATAGACGAATTTTCAGATATTTGTTTATGACTTTTTGCCCCTTTATTAAACATTTAAAATATTCACAAATTAATATGGAGAAAAAAAATGTAGATTTTACTGGTTTTCTAAGGCCAAATTAGAACCTGGAAATTATATTTTTCCCGCAGTGCTGAATGAGAAGAGCCATAACCACAGCCTACAGAAAGGGGATGTATAGGTGAGTTAGGCTATAATAAATGTGTCTGAAAAAATAACGAGGCATTTTAATTGTTTATTAATAAACTATTGTTTTCCTAAATCAGTGTCGGCTAAAAACATATCTCCATCTCCGGATGCACCTTTAGAGAGAAATGCACCTTTCATACGGATTACATAATCAGAAGGTATTAGCTTTCGATTCGAATTTGTTCCTTTTAAAGTGGACATTTAAAGCTTCAGTCTACAAAGGCTATATAGCCTATCAGTTCTCGCGCTTCAGTTCACGGAGACCATGAACCGCGCCTGATTGTTTTATTTTATTTTTACAAAAGCACATCGTTTTCTTGTTATTGTGAGATTACGCAAATACAAGTAGTTGCGAATAATGTATTATTATATTCTGTATGACCAGAAATGATAGAGTATTTTAAGTTGTTTCGACTGTTGATAGGAAAATGCAAGTTCTCGCGGCCGCGCCTCCGTGCCATCCAGTGCGCGCTCCACACCCAGTCCGCAGACACACTTGGATACGCGTCAAAATCTTGTGTTCATTTGTGATAATCTTAGCCCTATTATTATTGTGCAACCTGTATTATGAATGAAATGTGACGAATTGCTTTGTTCCTTTTTTGGATAAAAGCGTCTTCTACATATAATAAATGTTATAATAATGATGATAATTATTATTATTATTTGCGGACAAGGACCCAAAACACACCGCGTATTCTAAGTCAGGTGACTGTAAATGCGCAAAACCCGTTTCCATTGCAGTTTTGCGAAATATTCCTTTTTCAAATTGCCTGAAAAACCTTCTCATGCGAGCGTAAAAACTTTATTGGGATAAACGGGAGTTTTTGCGAAATGGAGTGTTTCCATTGTGCGCATTTTCATTACGCAATTTCAATTTGCGCAATTTGAAGGGTAATGGAAACGCGGCTTGTATGATTATGCGGGCAGGGCCATATCGATGTGATTGCAAATAGCCTACGTCTTTCTTCCCAGCTCCGAAAATATAAAATCCCAGCCGGTCCATTTCCCAAATCCATTCGACTTGTCTTACACTATACATTTAGCAAAACCTATTTCTCCTGAAATCCATATCATGTTTTCCGATCCCTTTAGTAGCTTGTGCATCGTCAGTGAGTTAGGAAAAACCAAACAGAAGAAGAGTTAGGAGGAGCGCGGAAATTGACAGACATTTGGCACATAGGCTATCTATGAATGGTAAATATTCTGTTATCCTGTAACAGTAATTTAATCAAAATGTTTATAGCCACTATATGTTTATAGAAGAATATAAGATAGAGAGATCACTGACCGCTTTGTTGTCAATTCAGGCCTGTAATTGATGCCGATGCTGTAATCATTGTGACTATACGTTGGTTTGACGATCATGTAATAAAATTCCTTGTGGTGTTATACAATTACAAACATTCGGAATCTGACTTTTATTTTATTTTGATTAAAAAAATGTGTGCATGCGCCAACACAAAAAGTTCCACAGCTGTCCCCCCCAATGTGTGATTGACAATTTCGCCCTTGGCTGTGCTCCATGCCACAGTACTGACTCTCAAAAGAACAGGAAATCCTGGCATTGCAAATAATGCACAGGAACATCAGGAGGACCTCTAGCCATGGACCTGATAAATAATTACATCTCTATTTAACTCCAACTCAAGTACTTTAAGAAAATGTTTTAATTTTTGATAAGGCTTAAAACTTGTGTACAAATAAAAACATTAAAAAGCTGAATGTATCCAACATGCATTTTATAGTAAAAACATGTAACATATAAATGTGATAAAGAGAAGCTGGGCAGTAAACTAACAGTATCAACTGAAGAGAAGTTCAAATGGTCAGAGCAAAACCAATACACTGGAATATTGTGCTCCACCTGAATTTAAGCACACTGCATTCTGGAGGGTCTGAATTGTTACACAACTTGCCACAAAAGTTTAATGAATTTATTCTATCCTGCGCCTATAGGCATACACTTACTGCCTAGTGCCTACATAACAGAATCAAGTCTTAACATGCAACTCACTTTGACAACCATAACGAAGACAATTATTCTGACTCCATACAGAATCATTGTATTTAAAAGCACCTCAACTAATGCAAGATATTGAGGAACTTATTTGCTGAATAGCATCAAATATTCTGAAGTTTCATAAATGATTAAGGAGGCTGCGTTGATCAAGATCCGTTATGTCATGCTTAAGTACTAACACGCCAGATGAAGAAACCGATTGGAGCGTCTCTAGGCACCACACTTGAAAGCTCTTTATGAGCTCCACCCAGATGAAGACAGAGATACAGGGCTGTCATGCTCTTCTCCACCTTGGAAGGCAACTCTATATTCGTATAGACAAGTAAAATATGGGGCCTGTCATGACGGGAACACACATACCACTTTTACATACAAGCACACACAAGTGCATATTTAGTCATACTTTGCAATTGCATGTTCAATTCTTATTGAAAAGCAAGAACATTAGTAATATAAACAGTTCCAGTAACTAAAAACGCACAGCGATGATTAGAAATACAAATTGTCCTACCAATAAGCATATTGCATTTCTACAGGACACAAATAACTCGTATGCATGGCAAAAAAATGCTTCATTCACTGGCTGTGAGATGTCATCGTAAAAATACAGACAATCACACCATCATCGGTGTGTAAGCAATTTAGAGTCCAGCAAAACTTTGTTTGCTCATATTAACAGTAAGGGATGAAGGTGTTTCTAAATACAAATATTGAGCAATTGCTGATTAATTCTTGATTGCAACATCTGAGAGGATGTTTATTCATACCCTCTGGGCGCCGTTGGGAAACTATCCCATTAAGAGCAAAACCCTACAGCCATTGGGCTGTGGCACTGATGATGAAATGAGCTTCCTGAAGAGAACAAACTTCATTTAAAACATTTAAGAAAGGACAATCTATCTGGACAAAAAATCTTGGAATTCAAAAGCCAGCTTAAACTTGGAAATAAAAGGCAAAAATATTTAGGATTTTGAAAAAAAACAAAGAATGCTATGATGGAAAGTTGAAACGAAGAAAAACTAAAGATACTGGACTATTTCTAGGACATTAATCAAAGATACACATTTGTGACAATGATCATGGGACTCTTAGTTTGTACAGACAAAACCTGATAAAGCAGAAAGGGAGCAAATAAATAAGACTCAAATTATGCTACACTTAAAAATGTAAGCCCTTTTTTTAAGACTTACAAATTTCAATTGTATAGTAAAATTCAATCAAATTGAATTGAATAATCCTTACATATTCATATTATGAATTAAGAATTTTAAATGAGTAAAAAAACACGAACTTAAAACATTTTGTATAAATCTTAATGGAACAATGGAATGGACCATTTCAGTTTACTGTATGCAATTCGTATTCATAAATTAAAATAGGTTTATATTTATGAATATAAATAATATAAACTGAAATGGCCCATTCCCTTGTTCCATTAAGATATATACAACATGTTAAGATCTAGTTATTTTACAGATTTAAAATTGAACGTAAAGATTTTACAATTTAATTAAATTTAATCTTAAAAATGGGCTTAAATATTTTTGAGTGTAATTTCACTGCAAAAACCTAGTAGTAAAAAGATTCTCAAAATTCAATTATCAGACTTCACACATTCGGACCAATCACCGCTAGTGTCTAAAATAAGCCATAAACTGGAGGGCGTGTCACTGTGTTAGTCATCAATCACAACCGGCATTGAATGAGGGAACAGTGTCTGAACATTTCTAACACAGGCAATGTTGTGTAACTCGATGTTCTAATTCATCCGTTAAAACGTTGACACGCAAAATAACCATCTTAAACTCTGATAAGGAAAAATGTGCTCCTTATGAGAGGAAGGCGTGTCCTCGCGGATCGATATTTTATTCGACTGGCCTGATGAATGCCATGTTCACTGATGAATGCCATGTTCACTGATGAATGCCATGTTCATAGCCACGTGAGAATTATAATAACAATAGAGTCCGACAAATAAAATGTAACAAATATCAAAGCTACATTGAGAGGAAAACCTCCGAGGAAGTGAACATTCCAATTGAGAGGAACGGTTCAGTTCTCCACCTCCTCGCCCTACTCCAACATTTAACAGAAAATAAAAGTTCGGGTGCACTAGTTGAGCTTTGACTCATTCAAACTACAGTTAAACTGCCCTAAAACTATCCGCCATCTACTGCTGCTTTACGACATTCTGGGCTGGACTTGCAACGGTTGAATGGGGCTACTGTGGTTCCTCACTTCTTTGTCAGACTCTTAACTGCAAATGCGACTAAAGCAATATCTTATTTTCACCACAGTCCGCTTGAGCGACAAGTTACAAAAAGTCCACAAAACACGTGCAACTTGTGAAGCAATGATACAACTTTGCACAAAACAATCTGTGGCCACAAAGGCCTTCATTGCCATCATTCTTTCCCGTTATTTTGTGGCCTGCCTAAAATTTCATGCCCTGTTTGTTTGCCATACAGAAGTCGGATCATAGTTGGACTTGGATGCAACACACATAGTTATAAACTCCAAAAAACACATGGTATTATAATTTTGCAACTAGGCTAGATTTAAGAAAAAGAGTAATGTTCAAAAGCGACCAAAACGAGAAATGAAAAAGTAAACATACCTATGGACACCAGCTTGATGTTTTCCCTGTCCAGGAACTCCAGAGCCACGGAAACGTTCTCCAGCTGCATCTGTCTGAACGTGGGGCGCTGGTTATACTTGCGGAACATCTTCTTCTGGCTGAGCACCTCCAGAAGCGCGATCAGCCGGAGCCCATCGCTCAGGTCCGTCTGCAGGTTCGCTATGCGCTTATTGACACATTTCAGATGCTCGTTGCACCAACGCGTGAATGTATTTTGCTGGATCTTCTTCCATGGCGCGTCCTCGGCGAGATCTTTCTCTGTAGCGGGCATGTCTGCGTCCTTGTCCGGGGAGAGAGAAGCGTTGGATTGGGGAGCGGCGGCGCTCGACTGGTGGGGGCGTGTGTGTTGACTCATTTTTATCGACTCGGGTCTCCTGCACTAATTCGCTGTCTCGCTTTTTGGGTGGAGTCTTGAGGAATTGTACAATTTGTATGCTCTTCTTTCCAACGTTTTGTGACTATAAGAAAAACAAAATATTTGTATAAAATCAGGCTAAAATAGCCGACACATGTGATGGGCATTTAATGACATTTGTCATTCTCATCAATACATGGCTTTTAAGTACGTGGATTCTTTCTATAAAACTTCCGTTTTTAAGAAGTTGCTGAATGAATATGTGTCATTGTGTAATGCATTTAGTCTAAATGTAGGCCTAAGTGTGTAAGGTAACCGGTCTGAAAACAACACACTTTATGCATTCACAGGATATTACGCAATGTAGCCTATCTCTAGAATGTGATTGTGTACACCACCCTAATGTTGTGTTTGCTCTTAACGAACTGACAACGAAATATAACAACTTTGGTCAAAATCAGTATTGGAAATATATATATTTTTTAATCAAATCGGCAAAGAAAAGCAACATACATTTTCTATGGTTACCTCCAGTCCTCAGACATGTGAAAGCAATTTCAATTAAAAAAAAAAACATTTTGATTTACTGAACATTTAAAAGCCAATGTTTATCAATAGCATGTTTATATGTTAAACTTAATATGGACATTAATTTCACTTTAGGTTCACTAAAGGTTTCACTTTATGCATTTATCAACAAACATTTATCTAGGCTACAGATTAAATCTAAGCAAATGTTCTACTATGCCATGTGTTGACGTATAGGCTAATTATCAAATTATGAACTGCTGTTGGACAAGGTGTCTGAACTTAAGTGAAAATTCACAATAGATGAGTAAGAAAGTTGAAAATATGTCTAAAGAGGTGTTTGAATACCAAGGTGTGCATATAAAAATCTTGGCAGGATTTCCAACCTCCTTGTACCCGTTTTGTGGGGGAAAGTCACAAAATAGAACAATTTAGAGCTGCATTAATCCAGCATTTGACTAAATAAGGCAAATGGGCCAAAACAGTGTGAGGACGCAGTCCAAAAAGAATGTTTTCCCTTAGAGCTTTTTTCAGCATTTGTCTCTCCAGGAGAATCTGTGGAATGCCCTTCATGTAATGAGCCACCGATGCCCCCCTGACCCCCTTTCCAATTCCCCGCCCCCATCATAAAACATCTACATAACCACACATTTGTTATACTCTTGTTCACAATATGTTATACTCTTGTTCTTGTTCTCTGTCTCCTTCAGATTTATGCTCAGGGAAAGCCTGATATCGTTAACAGAACATAAGATAAGAAGAAGGTTAGCCTTCAGGTTTTTTAAAACTTAAAAACAATAAGGTTACATTGTGTCAGACTCAAGATCATGCATTCATAACTATTTATTATACTTGTAATGTATAGCCATATACCTAATTTTATAAGTCAACAAAATCACCTATTTTTTGTATTATTCACAAATCCCATGTGATATTAATAATGTTCACAATACAGTCAAACTGTAAATAGGCCAGTTGCTCAGAAACAAAAGAAGAACAAACAAGTCAGGCATTCAGAACACACCAGTACTGCTGAGCCCGGTAGTTTGGCGCCACCTGCAGGACACATGAAGTATGACAGGCTGATTTTATGATTTTCCACATTGCATTTTTATGGTAAAAAATAAACAAAATAACAAAAAACACTTGTTCAGTTTATAATTAGATGTTCAAACATGGATTTTAAAGTAAAGAACTGAAATCATCAACTTTCCAGCTTCAAAGTTTTTTTTTTTTTTTTTTTTTTTTTAAATAAACAATAATAGATAGGCTATATCATGTCTGACCACACAGAATGGGTTATAAATGTTTCCAATGTACTTTTACTGGACCACAAATGGGACTGTACAGTTCTTAAGTACTCTAACATGTAGCAGACAAATATGGGAATATTGTCAAGGTTTGAGACACAGTTGAAAAGAACACTGAGCTACATTCTCTTATGACTAAATAGCCATTAAAACATTAAAGTTCACCCAAAAATAAAAATGCTGTCATAATTTACTTACCCTCAGTGTAAGTAAGGTTCCAAACCTATGAATTTCTTTCTTCTGCTGAACACAAAAGAAGATATTTTGAATAATATAGAAACCAAACAGTTGATGTGCACCAGTAGGGAAAAAAAATCTATGGAACTGTTTGGCTTCTGACATTCTTCAAAATATCTTCCTTTGTATTCAACAGAAGAAATAAATACAGATTTGGAACAACTTAAGCGTGAATAAATTATGACAGAATTTTCATTTTGGGATGAACAATCCCTTTATCCCTTTAAGTGAACTTGTCTGAAAAAAAAAACAATGATAATCATTGTTGAATAATTCAACATTTCAACATTCATATCATCAAAAGATGATCTCAACGTAGTGAGTTAAAACCTAAATAAATGTAATCATCTGACTTTAGTATAATCACAGAGCATATTAGGTTCATTTGAGGACAGATGCTTGTCAGAAGAGAGGAGGGCACATGATGCCATGATTCAGCCATGCTGAAAAGTGTGGTTAACCCACGTGCTGCTGTCAACCGCAAAGGCTGATGTGCATCTACATATGCATGAGTGAAAAACACAGATTGCACATGCATGGAGGGAAAAAGATGGTATTACGGGTTTTTTTGTTAAGGTATTTAATTCTTGTGTCAACAGGATGTGGCTTTGCTATTGCTGTTGTGCACATACAAACCAAATAGAAAACATGAGCAGCTAAGCTGTGTTTTATATAATTCTTAAATCCAAATAATTATAACACTGCAAGAGACTGGGGCTAGTTGTCACACTTTGTACAAAAAAAAAAAGATTCAGATTCATGGTGACTTTTCATTAGTCATAATGAAATCGAAATTGACAATTCTTATTTTTTCATGGAAGATTTATCCATGCACACAATTATTTATTTATTTATTTATTTATTTTAATTAATGTGCCCTCGTAATATTTAATCAAAATAACTTCTCCTCCCTCTTGTGATATCTCTACTCTTCTCTGATGACGCGTTCACTGGCGTGAGGGCGGGATAACATGTCACTCACATGACATCATTGCGATAGCAAACCACAACCATCCAATCAATTGCCGATAGACAAAATCAACATTCAAGAAGGCTTATGTATGTCACAATAGGGAAGAAAGAATATCACTTCAAATAATAACTTTTCAACTTTAAACACGGGTTGACCAAAATGAGGCATGTTGTCAGACTATATGAGGCGAGCTGTCACAATGATAAATTTGTATATTTAAAAAAAACGGTCTGAAAAAACCCCTCCAAAAAACACCCCTGTCATGAAAAACACTTCACCTTTTCAATTAAAATCTAGGCCTACTTTCATTATATGACTTGTCTGAGTGTATGCCAGTGTGGTCACTCACTTGTATAATAATACTGTAGCCTAATTTTAGTTGGAGGACAGAATTCACAAAAATTCTGTCCAAAGAATGACTCTTGAAACGTGTGTGAAACCAACATAAAACGACTACTCGAGAAAACACACATTTGTGTAACTGGACTTTTGACTCAAAACATTATAGTTTACTGATTGTGACAGCTTCCCTGACAACTAGCCCCGTTCTTCCCTATAGGCTATATGAAGAAATATGCGAGTTTTTACTGAAAAACATAATGTTGAATCTTACTGTCTTACTATTGTCATCCAGGTGAGGTCGGGATGTTTCGTGCAAGATTCTCTTTGAGCATGGGGGGGCGCGCGCAACTCACATCAAAGGATGAAGGGCGCGCGGATCTTTCCATATTTTCCCTTATTTGGTGAGGAGGCCTTAATTAGATTACGAGTGATGAGCCAAAACCTCTGCAGAGCATCGGGTTTATACACTTTTCATAAATGAGGACATAATAAGAGGTATTAATATAAATTCAATATTAATGTTTGGATTTGCATGTAGCCTACAGACAAAGCTTTTAACGTAGGTTAAATGATTTCTTAAATATTCGTTATAGGGTACCTTTTTTCGTTTTATTCGGTCTCCTTCTTCGCAATATCATATAGATAAGCCCTCACACCTCGTTAAGCATCCAGGGCATTAATAAGTAGGCAATATGATATTCAGTCATTCAGTAGGCTATACCGTTACGGACACTAGGCTACGTTGCACGCACCCATCCCGCTACACGAAACATGTATGCAAAACACAAGACTTTTTTTGTGGTAAAAGGTCTGCGTCATTGTTTTTCTACGAATTTCAACCCTGAACGAATTTAGTTTGGACGCAAAACTAGAATAAAAGTAAGCTTCCCATAAGATTAGGTTCAACATCACAAAACATACCTCGCAACCCTGAATAGAGGTTTTATAACTTACGTTTTGCTGCTTGTCTTGCAGTAATTCTTGTTGCTGTCGGCTATCCCTTCAGATTTTGCGTGTGGCACAGGAAGCAGAGGGTGAACTTCACTCTAGCACAGTGCAGAAAACTCACTGTACGACCCTCCCGGACCGGACGAGTGTCCCTGGAGGAAAAGCTTGTTCGCTGAACTCGAGAAAAAACACTAGTGACACCCTTTAGTCTTTTCTGCCTCCTTCTGTCCTCTCTGCTGTTAATGCGAGAACCTTAATTGGTAAAGTATCAAAGAGGGGGGTTTCTCTTGTGTTCGCGCGAGCGCGTCTCGAGCTGACGTGATACCGGCGGCCGCGCCTTCAGATTGTAAAGGTATGATGTCACCCTGTTCAGACTCAGAGCGCCTGTATCTGCTCCATCTGCCTGAACACTGTTGCTGCTGCTCGACAAAGAGCTTCGGCTGGCTGTTTAACACCAACATTTGCAAGTCCAGAGGTAATATTATTCATGTCTAAGTGAACAAAATGATCTTACTGACTAACACTCTCTGACATAAAGACAAAACAATTTTTTTCCTTCTCAAGTCACACTGGATTACATCCAACCTTTATATATTATACTGCACAGCATTAATGTGTCATGAGGGTCTGTTTCCTGGTGAGATCATTCATCCTCCTCTACTGTGTGTGTGTGTGTGTGTGTGCACTTTGGAGAGCCAAACTTTGAAAAAATGCCCTCACAAATTTAAGCATGTCGAAAACCATCTTGTGAGGACATTTGAAGTGGTCCTCATTATTTGAGACTTATAAATCAGCCTATTTTCTTTTAAATAGTAATTTTAGGTTTGGGAGTCAGCCAGGTTAGGGTCATATGAGATGTGCTCACTAGTGAAACCAACTGTGTGAGACTAGAAGATTAATTTCAAAATGTATTCATATTATTTCACATACTTTTGGGACCAATTGCTCATTTTATACAATGAGTCGAGACTATAAGTGTTTCACTTTGTAATAATTAAAGAGACAGAGTTTGCTGTTTAATACATTACATTTATTTCAGCTGGATCTTATAATGGCCCAGTATGGGCCTGTCTATGAGACTCTATAACCCTCTTGGTACCAATAAAACCTGGTGTAGACAGCTTGTCTCCCTTGGGTAACTGTCTTTGACTGCAAACATTCCCAGTACTTCATTCCTTAGAGGGAAAGAGAGGGGACCAGCTGTAACCGCCTAATTTATCAGAGAACCTTGGGGCGGGATGACATCATATTGCCCCCAATACAACTTTAACTATATCCAGCAGTCTGAAACTAGGTATCATTTGCACCATATGGGATTTGACTGGCATTACTAATTAGTGCTGCGTCTCTTTTGTCTGTTTTTTTTTTCTTGCCCACATTCCCTAAATTCTGATCAAGTCAATAAAGACTTAATAAAGATAAAGACCTTCTGGCAGCAATCTGGCTCTTGAAAGAAAAGCAGAGAGAATGATATCAGTGGAGAGTAAATTAAAATAGCTATATGCAAAAGACAAGGTGTCAACAAGGCCAGGAATCTAAGAGGGAACAGTCCAAAATTTTGCATATATGTGCTTAAGCCTAACAAATCGTCCCACATAAAACTGGCATAACCAAGATATGTGTGAAGACCTGTGTCTGTACGTTTCATTTGCTAATGTACACACAATGTTGGTGCTTTCTTAGAGAAGACATGGGCACAGAGAAATGGAGGAACTGTGCAGGATTTGATTGTAAAGTTTGAAGATATTATTTGGTAAGTTTGTCACCTAAATATGTATTCAATTAGATATAACAAATCACACAAATAAATAAATATCACAAATGCGCTACAAAACATGTTCACAATGCACACGAGGCGGTATGATGTTGTTTGACAGACTGTGAAGACCAGGAAAAATGCTGTCATTGCTATAAATGGAGTCTAAATATGGGCTAATAAAATATTATGCTCAGTTTTATGGACAGTAAATACAGAATTATACAGTAATAGGCAAAGGAGGAGCAAAGAAAAAGGAATAAAAGAGAAATGACATGTATGGAGAGACAATTATATGAAGCGCTTACATTTTCCCATTGTAATCCCAAGAATTCTGTCTACATTCCTTTTTTGTTTTATTGGTTTATAAAAAGAGTACAAGACATGAAAAAACTTTGCGATCAGCTTTTTTATTCATATAGCGAGACTTGCATTTAAAGTCCCTAAGACATCACTTTTGCTTGTTAGATAGAAGTAGAGCATCATTTTGAACAGTTTAACTGTTTTATGAAGTACAGCAATATAATAGCAGCAGGTTTAACAAGGCAATAATGTTTATCAAGAATGGGCCAAGCTAAAAAAGCAGTTATTTGTTCTTTGATCAAATGTATCAAACACTACTGAGAGAGAAAAAGAGAGGCAGAAAGATTGAGAGAGATGGGCCTGTTGTGACCCATCCGTTTATGGGTGTAATTTGTTAACACAGGAAGCTGTAGTGACAGATAGGGCATGTTTTCCACAGGAACGTGTGGCTCTGTGGAAAGATGGATACAATCTGTGGAGGGAATAGAGTCCTGTTGTTAATCGTATTAGCTGAAAAACAAGGATGATAGCTTAGCTGTGATTCACAATTCTGACACAGGCAAGCTAAATAAAGGCCAAAAACAAACATGAGCCAATAACCTTTTTAGAATGAGACTAGTTTTCCCTGAGGAGGTCAAGTAAATTTGTGTTTCACAAACTTGCTTTGTGACTGTAATCCTGTCCATATTAACTAAAAAAAAATTCATAATGTTAGAATTACATCTCATACATTCAGCAAATCCAGTAAAAACTACAGAGATCCATCCGAATCAGTACATGAAGCCAGACGTCCAGGCAAAACAAATGTGTTTTTTCAAAAAAAGACTTTCTTTGTTTTGCTCTTCTTTGTTTTTGTGTTTTCATATTGATTTTGATGGCCTTCAAGGACAGTGCTGAGAGGTTCAAGCCGTACAGAGGACACTCTGTATTGTCAGCCACCGACAGACAAAATAACTAAAGAAAAAATATCAAGACT